ACTTCATGAGGAGCAAGGCTCATGTGGCTAAGCGTCCTGATAAAGCAGGCCTTTTCATCAAATACTTGATTGGATATGCACGAGATATCAGATGTATCGGGTGCGCCAAGAGATAATGTGTAGCTTTTGTGCTGCACACACAAGTGCAAAACACAACTTCTCACTAGGCGAATAATTATGCTAATCTGGCATCATGGTGGGACTTAGTATAATGCTACCTCTTTACCTTCATCATTGTGCTGGGCGAGAAGAGCGCCTAGAGACCCTTGTAAGGCTGTCACATACGAGATTAAAAACCTACGTGGACCTGGAGCAGTAAGGACAAGTGGTTTCAACAGGTAATCTTTGATGCTTTGGAAGGCCCTTTGACATGATTCATCCCACACAGAGCAGATATCTTTCTTCATTAATCGAGAGAAAGGCTTGCATCTTCCAAAGACGTTAGATATGAACCTTTGGATGTAGGCTAATATTCTTTGCAAGGAGATTAGCTCATATGTGTTTTTTTGGTGGTGGCATATCTTGTATAGCTCTGATTTTGGTCGGATCGATCTCAATCTCAAGATGTCTTACTATGAATCCCATGAGTTTTCTAAATTTTACCCCCAAATGCACATTTTAGGGGATTCATCTTTAGTTTGTGTTTCCTCAGTCTGCTGAATACATCTAAATCCTCGATGTGGGTTGACCGGTCTTTGGATTTAATGATAAAGTGGTCCACATAACATTCAACCACATCATGTCTATTCAAATATGGCGCCAACATTTTTCAACCCGAATGGCATTACTTTATAGCAATATTTCTTTTTGCTAGATCTGAAGGAAGTCAATTCCTCATCTTCAGGTGCCATTCTAATCTAGTTATCTCTCCGAATATCCGTCCATAAACGAGAAGGCCTCATATACCATTGTTGAATCAATCATGATTTCTGTGAGGGGTAAAAGAGAATCATCTTTAGGCCAAGCTGCATTGAGGTTACGAAAGTCAACGCAAACACGGATTTGTCAAATTTTCTTCTTGATTGGTACTATGTTTGTCAGCCATTTGGGGTCTGTGACTTACCTGAAAAATCCTGCCTTTACCAATTTGCTAACCTTGGCTTCAATTTAGAGAGCAACATCTGGATGAAACTTCCTTTGTGTTTGTTTTATCGGCTTAATGTTGGCATCTACGACCACCTTATGACTGGTGACCGTAGGATCCAACCCCGACATCTCTTGGTAATTCCAGGCGACCACATCTTGATTAATTCGAAGGAAGTCAACGTACTATTCGAAAGAAGTATTTTAACATTTTATACCATATGCAACTATTCCAACTCAAGACCATGTATTTTTCTAAGGTTATTTTAAAATTAAATCAAAAGATCTGGGTGTAGTATTGAATTGTTTCTCTCTCATGAGTGGTTCGATAAATTCCCTAATTGTGTTTATCATGGCAGTTTGGCACTTTCGGGATGATTTGAGATCAAATATAAAATTGTTATTGGTGAGCTAATGTCAAAAATATTTATTGTGAATGCAGGCCACAATGAAGACCCTCTTGTAAGTTCAAACTGATTGGATAGGTACTTTCATAGTGTTTGTGGTAAGTTCTAACACATGAAAACTCGACAAAAAATGACCTAAGTCTCTTCAAGCTTGGACTTCTATTAGGGCCTATTTGGATCCTTGGAAACAAATTATCTAAAAAAATTTATTTCCATTGAAATTCTAGCGAAAAGCATTTCATGAAAATTTGTATTAGGGGTATTTTAATTGTTCAATATATTTTTATCCTATGATAATGAAAAAAAAAGAAAACCTTTGTAGCCCAAGTTTCACATAAATGTTTTTTTTAAATAATAATAAAAAATGGATAACTCTTTTGAGCTATTGGATAATACTAGGTTCATTCTGAACCATTAGAGGGTACCCATCAAACATCCACATCGTACTGACGCTATACCATTCTTTCTTTGTATTAGTTTTATTTGTAGTTATCCTCAAACAAATCTATTTATTTGGGTATAGCAAGTTGATAATCAGAATATATCCTATAAAGAAAATACAAAAAATAGCAAATAAAATTAGGGTCAAGATTTATTCAAAATAAAATAAAGCATTACCTATTCCATAATTGATAGAGATCATAAAGAAAATCAATAACCTAGAAAATGCAAGCAAATAAAAGAAAAAAAGCATAAGGTTTTAGGAGAAAACGAAGAAAATGTTAGTACAGTATAGTTGCAAAGGTATGGAAAAGATG